TGGACCAAATTAAGTCTAATTGAGCCTAATTAAGCCTGTTTAAGATTAATTACGCTGAATTAAGCCTAGGTAAGCAAATTTGAATGTTGCTTAATTTGACTTAATTAAGCTAAATTAAGCTTTGTTGAGCCTGCCCAGTCCTGGCAACTGTGACATGCGCTGGAAAGGACGGGCGTCAGACCTTACAGGTGAAGGAGGAGATTCAATCAATTGACACCAATTCCGGGCAATCCGAGCACAATTAAGCTTAACCTGGCCTTAACTCTTTTTTGGGGGGGGTGCTTTCTAAGCGTTGGAACACTCCCCCAAAAGTTACGGCCATTTTAGGCTTACTCAAGCTGAACCGGCGTAATCCAGCTTGCCCGCAGGCCTCACACAGCTTCTGTCGCTCATTGCTGAGCCCTGATGTGGGTGCACTGCCTCATTTGAGCCCCCAGTTTGGCCCTGAATATGCTCAGCAAGACAGAGACGACCTTGTGATTATTGTTTTGGGGGGGTGGCTTTGGGGTGGGGGTCTTGCACTTGGTGAAGGTGCTTGGGTGGGTGGGAGGCATTTGTTTTGTCCTTCACAAGATCATGAAATTCAATGCAGTACCAATGCTGGAATTTGGTGGTCAATCCGCAAAAGCTGCATCCAAACCGCTTCCTAGACTGGCCACAAATTCGTGTGCCCTTTGCCCCCGGTTCCGGAAGGAGTCGTCCGTGGAGGCGCAGCTGGGATGCCACTGCGAGGGGGCAGGGTAGGTGGTTCACAAAAATTCCGCCTTTGGGGCTACCGTGTGTGTGTGTGTGCCTGAAGTGAAGGCGATCACAAGGCGATCCCTCTGCCAGCTGCAGGTCTGGCATTCTGATAAACTTTGGCAAACTTCGTCACAATCCGGCCAAATGTGGCAAAATGCTTCAATGATGCTGTAAGCTGGTTGGGACTTGAAATTTCGCAGACCCCTTTGAGCCCGCTTTGTTTTGCCTGCGCAAGCTTCTGCAGTTTGCTATTACCTGCGGCAACCCGAAACAATTGCGCACACGCTGTTGGTTAAAGCGTTTCGCGCAAGACACAGTGTCTTTAATTTATGACTTTGTTAGCAAACAACACAATTTGTTATTTTTTGTTGACTATCAAACAAATCTACTGCGCAACATATGCTCAAACATGATTAAGAATGAATAGACAAAACCCACATTGCATCCAAACATGAACGGGGCGCTTTGCAAAAGGCAAAGTAACATCCGAAAATCCGCCCCTGGCTTGCTACTCCCCCCCCGTTTTCGGCACGCAAACAGACGAACCATGGCAAACTTGGGTAACGACTCGCTGCTGGTAACTCTACGCGACTTCCTTTGCCTGGGGAATGGATACCTGGATGCCTCCATTTTGATCATTTAGCTCGCTGGGCTTCATGGGGAAATGGTCCATGTCCTGCTCGAAACGCGATCCGTCTAACTAGAACCTGTTGCAGGCTGAACCGACTAGTTGGCTGCTTTTTGGAAGCCCGTTGAAACCACCTGGAGTCTCCATGACCTTGTAAAAAATGGGTCCATGACCCCAGTATTTTGGGTAATGACCCCATGTTTTTGATTTTTATGGAGGCAGATTGGCAAATTGAACACAAACTGGCAGAAGCTGGCAAACATTGCAGCTGAGATACGGTAGCTAGGTCCCCCAGCCAGGTGCCCGACCTCTCACCAACTTTTTTTGGGGAGGGTTCCGCTACTAAAGTAGACTACAGACAAAATGGTACCCTTATTAGAACCTTTCTATGGAGGACCTAGGATACAGTAGCCTTTGCGGCTGTCCAGCAAATTCTCCCCTGGTGTCATTGACAGACCTCGCCTTGATTGCTAGCGGCGTGAACCAGTCCAGGGCAGCTGCAGAGTTTCTGGGTTCTGGCGACTCCCGGAGGTTTTGAAGATACAATGTTGTTGCTGAGCATATAATTTGAACTGACATGTTCGCATCTTTGGCCGGGGCTCGTTGTTCAAGCGATGCTTGAATCGCAGCAGTGTTGTTGCTCTTCAAACTTCAAACTGTCAATCGAGTTTGGAGAGATGTTTGATTGTCAAGATACGCCCGATCCACCATGTCAGAATGACAAACCGTAGCAGGTTTGGATATGACGATGCTGAGTAAATGGTTGCGAGATCTTTGTCCCTTTGCTGTGCTGATGAGACTATCCGAATCAGGCTCTCCAAACTCTAGAGTCGTGTTACAGCAACAAACTCAGGCGCACCTCTCAAGATTGGTTCCCTAGTTTTTCGCCCGTCGTTGAATTCCAGAACGTACGGGTCTGCCTTTTGTCCTTTCCCGGCAGAAACAAAGAAAACAGCTATATAGATTAGTCTTGGTGGTTTGACGTGGCTTGGCTAGACCGTTTAGACCGTTTCGTGGCGCTTAGCCATCCGATTGCTGAGTTGTTTATTGGCCTTTTAGGGTGTGGTTGGGGAAACCCATTGAATCCACAAGTTAAACTTTTTAGCAGGGGATCTGAGGACAAGGTTCGTATTTTGGATGCTTTTTTCGGCTGGGAGGCCGTCCTGACGGCTGCCCTGGAACGGCTGGAGGAAGAGGAGCCCAAGGCAGGAGATACCGAACGCTGACAAAGGCTTGAAAGAACTAGGTCCCCAGCTAGGTGCCCTTTCTCACCCCTTTTTTGGGGGAGGGTTCCCCTAGTAACATAGACTGCTGCAAAATGAATCGGTACCCTCATTCTAACCTCTCTACTGGAGGACCTAGATAAAAAGCCGAAAGGGCAAACAAGACCCATGGCCAGCGGACTCACTAAGACGTGGGTATGTTAGGGGCCCCAAGCTTCTTGGTCGTACCCTTGCATCCCTTTAGAACAAGCCGTGCTTTGGGGCTCCGCAAGCCGTTCCCACCGTAAAGGTTTGGAGGCGTGTTCGTGCAATAGTTTGAAGGGTGGTCAGCGAAGAGAAATTCAGACATCCAACCAGAAAGTCAGAGTGGTATATAGCCTGCCTTTGGGTTTTCCCACCTGGCCCATGCTGACCCGATTTTGACCCCGATTTTGACCCAAACCAAACGGTTTGGTTGCTGAATGAATCTTGGTACAAAAGAGATCCCAAAGTATGTAGTCTGTTGCGGATGGTTTGTGACTGGCATTTGCTGTATACTCATGAGATTTCCTGGGCTTTTGAAAAGCGCCAAAAGGACAGGTTGTTCCAAATCCTTGTCCCAACAGATGAGTCAGTCAACTAGATTGTGTTTCGTGGAGCCCTGTTTTTTTTTGTCATAGCAGATGTTGCGTGCCGATTCGGATGGGAAGTTCTGGTAGCTTCACCAGCAAACTGGGGGGGCAATTTCAGGACAAACCTCCCCACTTCAGAAAGCCTTGAACAAATTCCCAGTTCATGTTGGGTTTGCTTTTATACCCCCCCCCCCCCCTCCCCCGAACAGCGCCGGCAGTCATCTGAAAACTGATTTGTGGGCCTGGGGGGGTCTGGGTCCGACTTAGACTACACTTAATATATGGCCAATTCTAAGTTTAGGAGTGGTAGGGGACCATGTCAATCTCAGGAGTTTCCAGATCCAAGGCCTTTAGCTAGGAAGGGCCCCTTCAAAAGCAACAGGCTAAGGCTTTGATATGTGTCTCTGTTTGTTAGCGTTGTTCTTTCCGGAAACATAACACACAAAAAGAAAGCAAAAAGCACAGCAACGGTTGCTGTCTTAGATGGTCGCTTTGGAGCCACTTCAGGCCGTCGCAGAAGACCTATGCTCCCTGGCACTGGAGTGCAACTTGGACCGTGCAGGCAGGTGGAAGCGGCTTTGGCTGAGCTTGAGGTTTCAGACATGTGTTTTCATGGGCAATCGTTCGGACCCGGCCGAAATGTTCCCAACTTGTACTAGTGCCCATGTGAACTGTGCCAACAGTTTGCGCATTGCCCCCAGGGCACGAGGGGGCGGATCTCCTTAATCTTCCAGGACCCTGGAAAAGCAGGGTCCTAGGGCCGAGTTTCCATTTGGAGCCAAGATCAAAATCAAGAGGGACCCTGGTTTTGCAGGTCCAAAGGGAAAACCAAGTGTTTTGCATATTTGTCCGAACCCAAATGGCAAAGGCGTTCACCTTGACCAACCCCAAGGTTCTTCTCACCTGCAGTCTCCATGACCCTTTAAAAATGGGCCCAGGACCCCATTATTTTGAGTGATGGCAACAGTTTTTAAGGGTCACATCAAAGTCTTCGGCTGATGTGGGGACCCCGCTGCGAAGTTCTTTGGGTGTTTGTGATTTTGAACAAGAGCGATGACGGACGACTTAGTATGTTTGTTTCGCAGAACGTGAGAGCATGGGCATTGACCCTGCCCAAGAGTTGTCTCTGGCTGTGTGTGTGTGAGGTGCTGTGGGTAAGCCTGGATCCGAGATACTACAAGGGATTCCACAAAAAGCCAGCATGTTGCTCCTGTGATCATGAACACATCGTGATGTCTGGTTTGGATGTTGAAGCACCTGTAGAGTTCCCCCAGCCATGCCAAGCACTGGTGCAACAACCACAAGCTACGGTGAAGGTACATGCTTCACATCACTAGATTGACGTTTGGATTGCTCAATGAGCCAATATCACGCACGGGCTTGGCCAACCAACTGTTCTGCCCGAAGCATCTTGGGCCCTCAAAAAGGCCGCAATGGAGGTCCTATCCGCTTGGAGGATTGAATGCTGCTTATAGGGTGGGAGAGCTACAAAGGAAGAACCAGTCTTAACGCTTAGCCAGCCCAGGAGCCCAAGTCATGTCAATAAGGAGAGCTTTGGACCGTTCTTCGTTTGAACAAGCAAAATACGGGATCTCCCTTCGAAAACACGGACATTTTGCTTGGCGGTTTCATGAGGTTCAACCAAGGGAACCTGGAGTCATGACCATGGGGTCATGGACCCATTTTTAAAGGGTCCTTAGGGAGACTCCGGGCGCGAAGTGTCCCCGGCTTCGCCGCCTGCGGTTTACCGCAGCCGTTCGCTCACGGGGGCCCATAGTTCTGACGAAAGTCGTTGTCATGGAGGAGCTGGAGGGATCGAGCGGGTTGGCGTCGTTGTTCAGTGGCACCAATTAGGTTGTCCCTTTTTTTCAGGGCTCCTTAAAAGATACAGTTTGCAACCATTTGAAACATGACGTAAAGGGAAACCACCATTTACAAGGCAATGTTGAGGTGTATAATGTAAGTATCCCTGTTTTTGGTGGCTGCCCCACTAAAAAGGGTCTTCATTTTTAAAAAAGGGTTCCCATGTTTTTTTCCAGGGTCACTGAACAACTGAGGAAAGCAGTTTTGTGGAGGGTTTTGATGGCCTGCGTTTGGCCCCGACATGATACCAAAACACAAAGGCTAGGTCCCCCAGCTAGGTGCCGTTTCTCACCCTTTTGTTGGTTGGGAGGGTTGCCCTACTAAGATAGACTACAGGAAAAAAGGCACCCTTATTCTAACCTGTCTAAAGGATAACTAAATGGCCGGGGTCTCGCCAGGATGCGGTTGGAACGATCCCCCGTAAGTCATACATCTACAGCAGAGGGTTCTAATAGGTAGTTGCAGCACTGGTACTGACCTGCATCCAAGAAACATTCTGCATCACCGACCACACCAACCAGTGCCCCCTATCCCTCATTGTTGCCGGATTGGGCGGTGCGTGTGCCGTGCCCAATGTGAAAAAATTGACAACACATTTCGTTGAAGGGATCAAAATGAACAGATCCTGTTTGGTGCTGAATGACTTGTCGTGGGATCCCCGGGGGTGAGTGCTACCCCGATTTTTCCACGGCGGTTGAGGTTCACTGGCGCAGCTGTTCAATCTTTTGTGTGTTTTAGGGACCTCCCCGAAAATTGTCAAAGGTCGCACACACAAATTGCCAGTGTGTGCCAAATGCACAATGACAAGTTCAGCAAACGTGGCCATCTTATACTTCCATTGGCTTAAGTTTTGCAAACCTCTCGCCCACGGATGCTGCCAGATAAATGCACCCGGAACAAGGGTGTTCAAGCGAAGGGCGGCTTTCAATACATGAGCATGAGAGAAGTGGGCAATCCGCAATGCAAATCAGTTACCATAACTTGGAGGGGCTGGAATCCATGTGAGGTTTTCGAATTACACATGAGGGTTGGCTATGTGTATCAGAAAATCTAGCCTCCCACCAATCAACATGGAACCTGAGGAAAATGGTCCAATCCAGGACTCCCTGAACGTCAGGTTCCATGTGAATTGGGAGGCTACAAAGGGCTTACTTCTCGATGTCAAGTCGCTGAACCTTCCGCCCAGGAGATCATCTTCAAGTTCGCGGACCGCGCCGAGGCGGCCGAGAGTTTTTGATGGATCCAAGCGGCTGCAGAAACCGATCAAAGGTTTGAACATCATATGCATTTGTGGGGTAGATTAACACGAAGTGATCAGAAGAGACTGTGTTTTGTCCTCTAGCCCCCCCCCCCCCGTATTGCAGTTTGGCTAAATTGAAGATTCACAGTTTTCCCAGCTGATTCGGAGGCCCCCCCTGAACCCTGGAGAAGACCATAGCTCGGTTCTTTCGACCGGGATTCCCAGGTTGCCGGAAATTCCCTTCACAGACCTTGGATGCATCCTTGGAGGGAACAGCCTATCAGACCCTTCATGGTCCTTTGAATTCAGGGCCGGACAGACCCTGAAGTCTGGTCCTTCACAAAGTTCGGCTTCGAAGCAATCTAGCTTCTGCTAGGTCCCCCAGTAGTGCCCTTTTACCCTTTTTTGGGGGAGGGTTCCCCTACTAGAATAGACTACAGAAAAAAAAGTTAGTACCAACTTATTCTAACCTCTTTAGTGGAGGACCTAGTCTGATATATGATTTTGGCAGTATCATGTTCCCTTGGGTGCATGCATTGTGCCGACAAAAACCGTGCATTGGGTCGGTTCTATCTATGATTGGGAAGGCCCCTACGTGCTTGTGGTTTTGGCTCAAGGCTCCGTCTGTTGACTAGTATCTCAAAAGGTATGTGTCAAGCACATGGCCATGAGCCAGTATATAAATCGGCGCATGACCTTACATCACCACCGACAGCTTGCAGATTGCCATCATTGCCAGACCTAGTTTACCTGTTTGACGGTTCGTTGTTTGGTGGTGCTTTTCTTTGTTCAGCTCTCACCAGCACCCAGCTAACTTCCCAAGTCAGGTTTGCCTCAAGGGAATAATTCTGACTGAGCCTGAAACGGTCCAGACACAAGCACTGGCTGTCTCAACCTTTTTGGACTTGGAGACGTAGATCGGTTTCCACTTGCTCGGTGAAAGCTTTGTTTGGCGGATGTTGTTGCATTTAAATATACTAGGTCCCTCAGTAGTGCCCATGTACCCTTTTTTTGGGGACGTTTTCCCTACTAAAAATAGACTATACCCTTATTCTAACCTCTCTATTGGAGGACCTAGAATACATGTTCTTCTTTTTAGTCGGGGCTGCTGGGCAAGGCGTGATTCGCCCCCATAGCGAGGGCAAGCCATGGCAAGATAATAGCAAGTAGCATCGAGTGACTCTTGCTGGCCATTCAGGGGCCAGGTTTTCGTGGTTTGTTCGTGGCCCTGCATCTGTTGGTGTTGCTATGAATTCTCATAGGGAGGGTCTGAAGAGTGGTTCAACGTAACTCCCCAAACGATCACTGGGTCCCACGCGAAGGTCCCGGGCTGGCTGGGCGTGGATGTGCAATCCGAGGCGCCGGGAGTGAGTCCGGTTCGCACCCGACCATTGAAATCGTAAGATCCCCAGACCAAAAGGAAGCACCGCGTAGAGATGATCATTTTTGGTCTCGTGTCAAACGCCATCACTTTAGAAAGCGCAGTCGAGCGCCTCGTGTTTTTGGGGGAAAGCTGCTGTGAAGGCCACGAGGTGGCTTGGGGTTTGGCAGGCTCTAGTTTGCAACTTTCGAAGGGGAACCAAGGGATCCTTTGGCGATTCTTCGTCCCTTCAAGTTCACATCGGATATTTGAGTTGGTCTCGAAGGGGTACCCGAACAGTGGTTAGTTTCCTTTTAAAATTTCCTTTTGAAAACCGTCCCAACAAAAGGGGTACCATCGAACAAGACAGACCCATTTGCACCCTTTGCACATCTGAGAAAATATGTCCCCTTGTCAAAAACGGGTTTCCTCCCCAAGAGGAAGCCGCCGGCGTCAAATTTAGATGGTCCATGTCCAAACAAGCGCAGGTGATTCTGGCAGAGCAAATCCGCACCCTGCACCCGCTCCGGGCAAACGTGCGTTGATTTCCAACTAGAGCTGCCCTTTTGAGGACTTGCTTTCGAACGGGGTCCACAAGAGGGCCGGCAACCTTGACCCTGCGGGGATTCACCTATGCTTGTGAGGACGCAGTGTTTTTGTGCACTTCTGGCTTTCCAGCCTGAATGCGGGCATGAGAATATGTTTACGCGAACCATTTCCGGCTAACCTTTTTTCCCCCCGCAAACACTGGTACCTGGAGTCTCCATGACCCTCAAAAAATGAGCTCATTACCCAAATAATGGGGTCATGGACCCATTTTTAAGGGGTCATGGAGACTCCAGGTAGTCATTGCATTTGATGGCTCGTGAAAGCATGCAACACAAATTTGCACTCGCTACTTGCACTGGTATGAGCCTCGAAGTGATGTATGCTCAACCTCTACAAATTGATATCGCCCTGCGAGGGAGTCCACAAACTACCCCCAGACACCCCAACCGTCAGGCCTTTGGTTTCGTCTCGCAACGGCTTAAGCCCAATCTCATTGGCAGATTTGTAGGTGTGGCTGGCTCACGGATTCTCACTCCAATCCTTGGATTCACTTCCCGGGTTGCAGCAGCTCCCAAAACGAGAGGCCGATTTGGGGGGTTCGCGGGGCCTGTAGCTGGTGCAAGTGGGATCCCGTCAAAGGGTTCTGGGCGCTTGGCGAGCTGCCCACCAAATGCAATTTGCTCAGGTGATCGCACGAATCCTGGAGGTGAAGCCGGACCGTATCCTGCTCGCGCTGGCCCCAATCGCATCACGGGGCTCCGCGCATCACGGGGCTCCGTTGTGCAACACTTTTGCAACATGACATCTAGATTTATCCCAGCAGTTGCGGCGAGCAAGTGACAAAAGCTACTAGCGTATAGCAGACCTTTGGGATGATTTTCCACGACCAAAGCGACCCAAGTGAACTCGAAATCATGATTCATGCCTCGAAGTTCTGAGCCCCCTCATAGTATTCGGGAACCTCAACGGGGGCCGGCCATGTGCCAGTTCAGGAGAGAAGCCCCACCGATTAAATCAGCCCCGTAAACGAGACCTTTGGCATGAGCTCGTTCTACCTCCCGAGCCTCACCAAAGAGTTTCAGAGGGATTGAAGTCCTGACTTGGATCCCCAAAAAGCAAACAAACAGATTAGGACCCCATCTGTTGCTGTTGCGCCGTCAAACAGATCAGTTCGGACAGTCGCTTCGTTCCGATGTCCTTCCTGGCCTGAAACTGCATCGACCTATGTGGTGGTGTGAACATCACCTTTGTTTGGCGAGCTTCCTTTGGTAGGGGTGATCTTTTCAGAGGGACATATCGGGAACCCTGTTTCCGTATGTTTTAGCCGTAAGCCAAAGGGTCATCTTTCACGCAAAGTGTTTTGGTTGCAAGCGAGGCACTGGACATCAACGGGTCATGGTTGTCCATGATGGTTTCCGCTACCCACACACAAACCACTAGCCCCAGAGTAAATTGGGCTAATAGGCCCTTTCTGTAGTGGCTATATGGTGGTTGTATATCCTTAACCCCCTTGGGGTAGCTTCCTTTGGGGCTAGTGGAAACAATTTTGGTTGATTGGTTAGCCTGACACCCGGGCGACCAATCTTCTCTTGGTTTCAACAGTTTCCCTTGGTTACACCTACCTCACAGGGTCCTTGAGTGCCTCAAAGTGAACGTCTTCAGGTTCCGAAAATTGCCATTTGGGTGACAGTTTTCAGCTTCGCCATTCTGATGCCTTTCAGAGTCCTTTACTTTTTCATGGACCCATTGCCTGCGAGGATGTGTAGGGGGGGGTCTTTTCGAGCGTTGAAATGAATTCGGGAATGGTAGAATCACGGCGCCACGTGTTGGATATAAGTTTCGAGGGTCGCTTCCATGCATCCACTATGTATTAGCTTCCCCTGTCCCAGCCCTCTCCCAACCCCCCGCCTCCCGGATCCGGCGTGGGCCCATGGGAGTTGGGAGTTTTTTTTTCAGGTCACCGAGACCACTGTGGAAGAGCTGCACGGGGACTACTTTGCACCCCTCGTGGAGGCCGTGGTTTTCTAAAACGGCGAGCCGTTTTCCAGATAGGTCTCGCAGCATCCCTTCCAGGACGCCCCAATGGCTGGCAAAGAAAATCTGTGGAATGACCTCCCAATGGCTGTTTTGGGGTTATTTGAAATCCAGCCATTGGGGGGTTCCTGGTTCAGAGATGTTCGTTGTTTTGGAGATGGTTAAGAAACGCCTTTGCAGCAACAATCGCCATGTCCAAGACCTCCCCCCTACGCACCCCCCACCAAAGGAGAGCGTCCCCATGGTGCGGGCAGCAGGCCGAAGAAGTGGAGTTGAGGGGTTGTCCCAATCATTACGGGCCGATCGCCAGATCGAGGGTTCCGAACCCTACTAGACGTCCAGAAAAAATAAATAAAAAGGGTACCAACTTATTCTAACCTCTCAAAACCGGAGAAGCTAGAACACCAAGAGGGCGACCATTTTTGTGGTTGTCACCAAGGAGTTGACGATGGGTCGTCCTCGGAGGGCTAAAAAACCTCTACTGGAGGGAGGACCTAGGAGGGCATGGCTCGACCCTTTGGTGTCGGATCCGGATCGATCTCAGCCGCTGCGCGCAGTCGGTGCCCAGCTGCGGCAGCGGCGACAACTTCTTCGCCGGCAACGTGCCGGTGGACAAGCAGCCCGGCAACCAGCGCCATATGGGTCGAAACTCAACCAGGGGACCGCAGAACATGTAATCCATGTGTCTCCATTTGTACCCAGGGAAACGGCCATTTGTGGCCCGCCCCAGCTCACTCAAGTGTGTTTGTCTCAGGGGGAACCTTCAATACTTCAATATGGGTGGGATTCCCTTGACTTTCCTCAAGCAAGAAAGAGTATCCCTTCGCAAACCGTGTGGCTTCATGAAAGGAGATACCCGTCCGGTTGCATGGCCGGCTTTCCGCGGGTGTCCAGTGTTTGCTCTTGAGACACACTATCTCACTAGAGGGGACGATGATCAGCCCAATGTTGCAATGAACTCACTTGTTCACTTTGGTTATGGCTTAGGTGCACGACAAGTCTGACATGTCAACCCGTTAAGCATGGAATTGAGGCAGGGGCTGTCCCTCTAGAACGTTTTGAAGAGAACAAACTAAGTAAATACAAAGGTATATATTGGCAGCCCCAAAGGTTGCAATCCTAGACTCAAAACCTACGCGTAGCTCCTAAGCCTAAACCCTCAACAAAAACCCAACCCAAAACTTAAACCTCAACCCGAAAGCTTATCCAGAGCCTTGCCTTCCCATGTGTGGGTGGAATGGCGGAATAGGAGTGCTGCTGGTAGTCGCACAACCTGGGCAGCATGGGGGGTGCCAGCAACCCGCGAGTGCTGCGTGTACATCGTAGGGAGCAACAAGAGGCGCATTTAGAAAGTTGAGTGGTTATAGTTTCTGTGCGAAGCCGGGGGGGGGAGGTCATCATTTGCTGGCACCCCCAGAAATTGCGCGGTTGACAGCTGACTTTGGCTTTACGTCAAATGTTAGGACCCTTCAGCAAGGAGGGTACTGCGTCGGCTGCGAACTGAGTTGAGGTCGTTGGATGTTTTGCCCTGGTGCGTGGAGACTGGACAGATCATTGCTTATTTGATGTTTTGCTTCCCTCCAAATACTGGCAGCATTCCTACAGCAAGTGTCAGGAAGATTCAACACATGGCATAACAATAGTCAGAAAACCTTGTGTCAATTTGTCTCCCAACTCTGAGAATTCTCATGTGACTGGCTAGCCTTCCGAACATGGCGCCTCCAGGAGGGCACCTGATGTGTCATGGTGAGAGATGGAGGGTACCTGGAGTCTCCCTAAGGACCCGAATCAAAAATGGGTCCATGACCCCATGATTTTGGGTAAGGACCCCCCATTTTTCAAGGGTCATGGAGACTCCAGGTATGTTCCAATTCTGCCACAAGTCTCAGTCCCTGAGACGGAACTTTAAACTCTTTGGGGCAGCTTGGACTTTCTTGGCCCATCAACTCAGGAAGTGAGTAATGCAAAAGGGCATGGAGGCTTGGATTTGTCCAAACCCTTTTTTCAGATCCAGTTCGACGCCACAGAGGGTGTGTTGTGGTTTCGTACGCCAGGCGTTGATGCGTTCTTCGGCGGGGGATGGTTGAGCCACCCCCATTCATGACTGCCAAACGGTTCCTGGCCAGGGCAACAAATGCGAGCAAGTACTCGAGGCTTGGACCGGCAGGTTGCAGAATAAATTGTTGTATCACTTAGGACCTGTTCGGGTTTCGACCACTCAGTCATAATTGTTTAGGCGAATCTTTGAATGAGCGCTCGGCCTGCAAAATTGAAGGGCGTGTGAGAATGGGCACCGGCGTGTGAGAATGGGAGTGCGTGGGGGAGGGAGATTTTCTGCAATGCAGGAACCAGCCGGGGTGCGGGACATGGGCCCGCTACCATTTTCTACCACTTGGACTGGAGCCCGCACCGCTGGAGTGATCGATCCCCACCTGCTTTGAATTGGGGGTGACCCCCGGAGATCTCCATTGATGGGAACCCATTTGGCTGTGGGTCAAAACCAATGGTACCATTTTGGGGTGCACCGCCCGTTTTAGGGCACCTATTTTCGTGGTTGGATTGGTTGATGTTCACTGGGGGCTAACCAATGGTTTTGAAAAGCCCATGGCCATCTGTGTGTGGTTCAATGGGTAACCCCAAAATGAGTTGCCATTTCTGGTAAATGGGTTGCCAAGGACTAAAACCGTTGCCGGTAAATGGAACCAAGGACTAAAACCGGCCATGTTGGCAAACCACTTCTGATGGTTTTGAAAAGCCCATGGCCATTTCCCCTCTTGAAGAATCCGAGCGGAGCTTTGGGGCGATTTGGATCCGTAAGGTATGTCCTGCCCGGGGGAGACGAGTCCAAGAGCTGGGACTACCTCTCCCAGCTCATCGAGCCGCTTGAAATCCGACAGATCGGGTTAGGTTCAGGGCTGTGGTTGAAATGGAATCCACGAATCTGTGATACAACAAAGGCTTCCCAAAGACGAACCCCCCCATATAAAGGGGGAGATTCCATCTTGTATCACAGAAGTGGTTGGAAAAAAACCCTTGATCCCACAACCCTGTTTAGGTTCATTTGGGGGCTCAAGAAAAAGGGGCCACAATTTGGAACCCTGGTAAATGGAAAGGTAGACTAAACTTGGTTCCTTGTAGCATTTTAGGGTTTAGTGGAGGTTTCCATTCAACCCACTAAACTTAAACTTTTAGGGATCTTCCCCAGCACAACGAATTGGCTCCAAATCTGGCCCAGCTCTAGGTCTCGTGAGCTTCTTGGACCCCTCCGAATCGGATTTGGTCGTCCAAACACATTGCTTGTGGGTGTCGTTTACGTGTCGCTGTTTCGGTTGAGCATTTTTTTCAGTCATGGAGTGTGTAGCAGACCCACAAGGCCAAATGTTAAACATGTTAGTTCCAACCTTGCATCTTCTGCATGTTAGTATCTTCATTTTTCAGGCCAAGGTTGGAGCTTTTTCTAGCCGGATCGTGCGAGGCCTGCCTAGTCTTCTACAACACCGAGGGTAAGCAAAGATTGGATCAACCGCGTTGCAAGCCTTGGCTGCTGGAACGGCGGATGAACCTATTCATGGGTTCGCATTTGCGTTTGCTGTAGTTGGAGATATGCTGGTGCATACCGCGCTCTTTGCCGGTCATTTGAGTCACAATCAATACCCGGGAAAGTGAAGGTTAGTAAGGGGCAATGCCATAATAGCTGCGGCCACCTTCTTAATTCTTGAAGCATGGTTCTGGGTCGACCACTTTAATACCAGGTTTTGACTATGACTCATTTCAGGAAAACACCATCCCAAAACGGAAGACTTCAAATTCAACTGAAACCGCGGAGCCGTCCCCCACCCATGGCCTGACTTGGACTGATCACCAGCAGGGTGTCGGGGATAGGTTTGCTAGTCCTAGGATATGCAATAGCGGGGTCGGAATCAATTTGAAGCCCTGGTTTGGCAGATGTTGGCAGAAATTATGTCTATCATGCCGTCCAAAGATGTATCTTAAACATCACCTCCTGGCCAAATCGGTTTCTTGTTCAACGAAGTGATGTGCAGGGAGTAAGTATGAAGACCCTGTGGCCAATGTGATGTCATTATTGCGCGGTGATGCACAGGGTTGACATTGAAGCTTATATCCACAATTACCAGCAGAGAATGGTTTTCCAAAAAAAGGGGGACACTTATTTAGTGCCCCCTGTCACCTGTCACATCTAACCAATAACAAACAAAAGCGCGGGCAATTAAAGGTTGGTAGCAAACAACACGATTTGTAAATGGGTGGTCACCTCTGTTCTTCCGGCTTCGGGCTTGGTACACGTCCTATAAATCTCTACCTGGAGTCTCCATGACCCTTGAACAATGGGGTCATTGCCCAAAATAATGGGGTCATGGACCCATTTTTTAGGGGTCATGGAGACTCCAGGTACAGATTTTCTTCAATGCTGGGTGTTCATCGATTCGACGTCGACCACTCGTTGCTCCCAATCGATATCACGTTTTGGCCTCCACTCGTTGCTCCCAAGCTCCTTTGGCTGTTCTTGCCTTGAGCTCACTTGAGCTCCAGATTTGGGAAAGACCCAGAAAAAGCCAGCGATGTCCACCAAAAGCTGTTTTGTTGAAGCTATATGTTTTTTGGTGGCTCCCAGCCATCCCCTTAGCCTTTCAGCTTTTTAGGGTTTAGTGTGGATTTCCATGTAACCCACTAACAGTTAAACTTTTGGCAGGGGATCTGAGGGCAGCCCAGTGTACTGTGAGGTTCACACACTATGATCCAGATACATCGTTGGGCAAAAGGAACCGGTCGTGAATTCCCGAGGTGAGCCCCAATCAAAACCCGGGTAGATGAAAATTAGTACCGGGCAGTCCCAGCCAGAAATAGTTGCGGATATCCGCCTTCTTACTTCTTTACATGGGTCTGGGTACCTGGAGTCTCCATGACCCTTAAAAATGGGGGGTCATGACCCAAAATAATGGGGTCATGGACACTTTTTTTAAGGGTCCTTAAAAAGACTCCAGGTAGACCATTTTACTGCCGGGTTTTGATTATGACTCAGGTGGGGCTTCGACACGGCCGCCACCAAGAAGTCCCTCATCGTCGTGCCTCCGCCAATTTTTATGTTATTTTCCGCGGCAACGAGCCTGAGCGTGGCGCGTGGAAGAGACAGGTTTTTTTGGTGGTCGGTGGATTTCAGACATGTTTTTTTCGGTGGTTTTCTTGGTTTCAGTGGTTTTCTTGGTTGTTTGCTTGGTTTTCTTGGATCCCTGAAAAAAACAAAACAAATCAAAAAGCAATCAGCGATGAGGGGGCCTCGGTCCCCTTTTTTTCAGAACCGGGCCAACATGAGCCCATTATGTTCCTCATGTTGGCGTTTCCCGGAGCAGGTAATACATTTGGAAGTCCAGTGTAAGGCTTTGTGAAACAGGGTCAGATTCTACGTTTTGTCTAGGGTGGACACAACAGGTGATGTATAGGCGCCCGTGTCGAATTTGATTCCTATCACTCTGACATCTCCAGGACTTGTTTGCGAAGAGAAAGAGCCAATCCAAGGCCGAGCTTCTGGCAACGGTGAGTTAGGGGTCATTAACTAGGTCACCCAGTAGTGCCCTTTCACCCTGTTTTGGGGGAGGGTTCCCCTACAACAATAGACAGAGCAAATTGGGTACCCTTCTAATCTCTCTGCTGGAGGACC